ATCTATCTATCTATCTATCTATCTATCTATCTATCTATCTATCTATCTATCTATCTATCTCTATATCTCTATATCTCTATATCTATCTATCTATCTATCTATCTCTATCATCTATCTATCTATCCATCTATCTATCTATCTCTATATCTATCTATCTCTCTATCTATCTATCTATATACAGAGAGAGAGAGAGAGAGAGAGAGAGAGAGAGAGAGAGAGAGAGAAATATAGAGAAATATAGAAATATATAGAAATATATACAGTATATGGATATACATTTGTTTCAAGGAAAAAATCTTCTCACCAGCATGACTGGTGGATGGATGGATGGATGGATGGATGGATGGATGGATGGATGGATGGATGGATGGATAGATAGATAGATAGATGATAGATAGATATATAATAGAATAATTGAGATTAGTTAGAGATAGAGATACATAGATGATAATAGATGATGGATAGGATAGAAATATAGATAATAGATGAGAAAGATAGATATCTAGAAGTAGAATGATAGGGGGAGAATAGATATATATATATATAGACAAATAATGATAGATAGGTGATAGAGATAATGATAATGATAGGGAGAATAAATAGATAATTAGAAGATGGATGGGTGGATGGATGGATGATAGATAGATAGATCTAACCAAGTTGGACAGTGGAGAGGATGCCCAAGATTGTGTCCCAAGGAAAGGAAGCATGAGGCAAACGAATCTTGAGAAGAGCAAAATTTCAAGATGATTCTGGAGGGCTCTGTTGGCGAGAGCAAGACTGGTGGAGTGTGGATGAGGAAGAGGATGACATGGGGAAAGGGCAAGTATAGGTTTCTGGAACAGGTCTTCCCAACCATGGCAACTTGAAGATGCGTGGGCTTCAATTCCCAGAAGCCTTTCTGGCTACCATGGTTGCGAATCGATGGGAAGGTTCTTTACCGTGTTGAGGTGGGACAACCAGTTCACATGTTTACTCTAATCCCAACCCTTTTATGGACCCTTGAAAATGGACTGTGGGTTCTAGTTCTGTCTTTGAGCCAGTCATTGCTCCTTCTGAGATTGTTGCCAATCAAAACTGATTCTTCTCCTCCGCCTCCTCCTCCTTCTCCCTTCTCCTTCCTTTCCCCTTCTCCTTCCTTTCCCCTTCTCCTCTTCTTCTGTTCCTCCTTCTTCCTTTTCCCCTTCTCTTCCCCCATCTTCTTCTTCTGCTTCTCCTCCTCTTCCTCCTCCTCCCTTTCCTCCCCCTCCTCCCCCTCCTCTTCCTCCTCCTCCAAGAATTGTTCCATGTTGGACTTGAGAAGGAACTCTGCCACAGATGTCTTTAGCACTCCATAAAACATTGAGTTTTGCTTTTACTGCAGTGAAACCAAGAACTAATTAGTGCTTCTTTCTCCAGTGAGTAAAACCCAAATGTCACACCATACTAGAGCTATTAAATCCCAAGAAAGCTGCCTCCCTGCATGGGGATGGTTCCATCTGCAGCCTCCTTATTGGGGTTTCCCCGTGGCAACTGGCAAGATGCTGTGATTTCAAGATGGCGGATCAATGGACCAACACACTGCCATGAGAATTAAAGATCGCCGCCTGCCAGGGAGCGTGGAATAATTCTCAGTGGCCATCAGACAAGTGACATTAGTTCCTCTATTGGTTTTTGTTTCTGTTTATCCAGAGAGGGAGCTTTCCACATCTACCCAACCTCAGCCTTGAAAAATCATCTCTCCAAATTGAAATGTGTTGATGTTGTTATCCAGGCGCTCAATTCTTTACACCTTCATCCAAACGGGTTGTTTCAGAAGGAAAACAAAATGAATTAAAAACAGCAGCCCAAGTAGATCCAGGGGGTTCCAAGCTACAGGTTGTTACCCTAGTTAGGAAATGTGTTCTTTTTTTTTTTAAAGTATTTTTATTTTATTTTTACAAACATTCCAGCTTTTCTTTAAACAGGGTGTCATCTGGGTACAAATATCTTGTGCCATAATATTTATGGTTCATACAATTTCCTTACCATAACAACAATAATTACAATACATTCTTATTTTAATCTACTACACATAATATATCTTATCATTGTAACCATCCCCTTCTTAACTCCTTCCCCTCTGTATTCATATGTTCATATATGTTCTATATCTATCTATCAATCAATCTAAATATATTTTCTACGTTCATATATTTAATTTCTAATTTCCGTTTTTCTTTTTCAACCATTGATAAAAATAATTCCCATATCCTATAATATTCAGTTTGCTATTTTTCTTTCATTGCCAGTGTTAATCTATTCGTTTCTGCACATTCTAGTATGTCTTCTTGTTTAGGCAAAACCTTAGCTTCCCACGGTGTCCTAACGCAACCGCTAAAGAGATTGCCAGGACAAATAACAATATTTAATATTTAGCCTACAGATGGCAAGAGTGAGAAACGCAGCCTGAGAAATGAGGGTAGGTTTCCAGCTGAAAAGAGAGAAAGAGAAAAGGACAGGGCCCAACATCTGGCTGTTCAAAGGAGAGAAGTTCACAGGATGAAGAAGAGAGACATAACTTGACAAACGCTCATCCAAAATTCCTGATCAATGACAGTCTTGGATTCCTTTTTAAAAATTATTATTTATTTATTTTTTAATCATTTCAATAATTCCATCTTCCATACATACAGTGTGTCAACTGGGACTCCGTGGTGCTTGTAAGTTGAGGATTATCTGTTACCTGAACATGGTTGGATGATCTCTCACCTCCTTCTGGCCATTCTTTGTCCTGCTCTCTGCTGCTAGTGGGATGGAAATGTGTTGGCAGGGAAACCATTAAGGAAAAAGAAGGAAAGAAAAACAGAAATATGAAGAAGGGTTGAAGGCATTGGGTACGGTTAGTCTAGAGAAAAGAAGGACTAGGGGAGACAACGATAGCAGCATTTCAATATTTGAGGGGCTGCCCCAAAGAAGGGGTGCTCAAGTTGGTCAACCTATTCTCCAAAACACCTGGAAGCGGGACAAGAAACAATGGATGGAAACTAACCAAGGAGAGAAGCAACCTTGGAATTGAGACATTTCCTAACGGTGAGGACAATTAACCAGCGGCACTTCAGAAGTTGTGGGCGCTCCATCACTGGAGGCTTTTAAGAAGAGACTCAACAATCGAGTGTCTAAAATGGTCTTGGGGGGGGGTCTCCTGCTTGAGCAGGGGGTTGGACTAGAAGACCTCCAAGGTTCCTTCCACCCCTATTCTGAAATCTATATAAAGCACAGGTCTTTTTTTCGAGAAGGAACTGATTGCAGGATTGGGGCTCCCTAGACGGCGATGCCAGACAGATCTGCTCCAGCACGGCCAAAGAGGTTTGTCGATCTGCTGGGATGCTCCATCAATGGCCGAAGCAACCCGTGATATTTCCTCCGCCCTCTCTCCCTCCCCCCCCCCGCCCCCCCCCCCCCCACAACCTCCTTCATCTGAGAGGCCCGGGCTGCGCGCTTCATCTCTGCGCAAGCTGCTGAACTCCAAGGGCAATTTACAACCGCCCCGTCACTGCCCCTTGTGCCATCTCCCCGGCTTTATGGAAAGAGCCTTGGGGCGCCTGCTTGCCCCATCACTCACGAGGACCTCCTCCGTGAAGCCACCGTGGCTGCCATGGCAACGGGGCGAGGAGCTGGTCCTGCAGGATGATAAGTAGCCTTTGCAGCGAAGGGAAGGAGAAATTATGGGCAAGGTGGAGAGAATTGTGGTGAGAACAGGCCTCTGGGCTTTGTTGGGGTTGGGCTTTGGGTAGAAAAGCAGCCAGGCCCCCCAATAGCTTGCTTTTTGCTGGCTAAAAGCACCTAGTCTGAAAACTTGGCCTGCTCAAAAGGAACGCAAGAAGAAACCTGAGTTTGGGTTTGTAGCT